AAGGAGAAACCATGGAGGCCGTGACAGACTTTGTATTTCTAGGGGCAAAGATTACTGCAGATGCAGACTGTAGCCAGGAAATCAGAAGACGCTTACTTCTTGGGAGGAGAGCAATGTCCAATCTCGATAAAATAGTGAAGAGTAGAGACATCAGACTGGCAACAAAGATCCTAGTCAAAGCCATGGTATTCCCTGTAGTCACCTACGGATGTGAGAGCTGGACCTTAGGGAAGGCTGAGCGAAGGAAGAGAGATGCTTTTGAACTGTGGTGTTGGAGGAAAGTTCTGAGAGTGCCTTGGGCTGCGAGAAGATCCAACCAGTCCATCCTCCAGGAAATAAAGCCCGACTGCTCACTGGAGGGAAAGATACTAGAGACAAAGTTGAAGTACTTTGGCCACATCATGAGGAGACAGGAAAGCCTAGAGAAGACAGTTATGCTGGGGAAAGTGGAAGGCAAAAGGAAGAGGGGCCGACCAAGGGCAAGATGGATGGATGGCATCCTTGAAGTGACTGAACTGACCTTGAGGGAGCTGGGGGTGGTAACGGCCGACAGGGAGCTCTGGCGTGGGCTGGTCCATGAGGTCACGAAGAGTCGGAGACGACTGAACGAATGAACAACAACAACATAGGGACCAACCACATACATGCCGCCAAAGGAGACTTTACAGCACAGGGGACGGACTGCTTACTGTTTCACTGATCACACATAAAAGCAGCACATTTCAATCCAATTTCTAATTAATAAACAGGATATGTTATTAATGCTCCATTTCTTTTTTTCTTTACAAATTTTTCTTATTTTTTATTGGTAGGTTTTTAAAAATAAGTTCACAAACATATCTGAATAATTCAATCTGCTGAAACAATTCACAGCTTGACTGATCAATCTAGATGGGATTGTAAGTATAGCCATTGTGAGGACTTTCCATGGGTATCTCCATTTTAGATGAAGGGGAGTGGGAGATTCATATCTTGCCAGCTTCATTTCTGGCACCTTTTGCACACCATTTCCAACATGCTGACGGCAACAAGGGACAAATGTCATTTGATAAGATCCATCGAGATGCGTATGCAAACAAGTTCAGAAAAAGACTATTGTTTAATGTGGTCAGGTCCCTGAAGGCACAAAACTACAATCCTAATTAACTTCACTATCTCATCAGCCATAAGTAGGCCCACATTTCCCTCTGAAATACTGGTAAAGTTTATGTTGGTTAAAAAATTTCTTCATTTTAAATATTATATTGTTTTTCCATGTTTTTAGCATTACAAATAAGATACGTGTAGTGTGCATAGAAATGTGTTCATGTTTTCTTCAAACTATAGTCCAGCCACCCTGCCCCCCCCCACCCCATCTGAAGACTCGTCAGCTTGCTCAGAAAACTCTTTTGCTGCATTCATATGTGACTGAGGTTGTCATTATTTGTATGCACTTTTAATCCCTTTATTTTCCTTTTTTGAGTCTTAAGGAGGAAACCAAAGCTTATTTCCAATTTGCTTTTAAATTACTCAGAGTTCTTAATTTCACCCAAACTCTGGTTCTGTTATGTCAAAGCTAGACAATGTATAATCTTCCAAATATTAGACTAACTTTAATCAGTTCAGGCCTTGAAACCAAGGGAATCATGGGGACTTGCAGTCCAGCAACATCTAATAGGCAAAAGAATAGCTCTCATCTGTGGTTTAGATTAAGCCGTGTTTCCAAGCCAGAATCGTAAACCACTGTTTGATGCTGTGTTATCTGAGTAAATCATTATTCAAAGTAAGAAGAGTTACCCTGAATTCAAACACAATTTCTATGTAAGTACTATTTATATGTAAATAATTATTCTAAAATGCATACTAATTTAACCATTACTATTCATAATTTAACAATTGCTAATAAAAGCAGAAATAATCTGGGTGGAAGGACTCTATAAATTTTGATTTTTTTTTTAACTTTTACTGGTAACCTGATATATTTAGAATATACATTTTTCTGAAAATATGTAATTTTCTGTGAAACGTAATTAAATGTAAATCCTGTATAATTGCCTACCATTAACAATGTAAATGACTATAAAGAATCCATAATGTTGTTATTTAAATATAATGTGTTTCAAGGTCAGCACACTGTTTAAAACGGGCTTTTCAGGTTACAAGGAATGACCTGCATGAGGTCTCATAAAAGCTACAGCACAATCAACAGGGATTACCATAATTACTTCATCACACTACAAGTAGCTAATGGGATTACACCCTAAGGGTAAGCAATTATTCGTTGCACACAGTGTAAACGTGCTGAGAGAGGTGGATAAGAGCAAATATTACAATGCCATGATAAATAAGTTCAAACACGGCAGGGTCAAGGTCAACAGCAGTATGTTGCTACAACTTAAAAGAAACAAGTCTGCAGATATTTTCTTTCAATCTCTCCGTAATTGGACTGTAATTTTGTTCTTATTTTCTTTTCTTCCTCATTTCTAAAAATCTGCTGTGATATGCGGGTTTGTACTTTAGCCACAGAATGAGATGGAAGTACTTTGGTCACAGGAAAAGACAGGAAAGCTTGGAGAAGACAATGATGGGGGGAAAATGGAAGGAAAAAGGAAGAGGGGCCGACCAAGGGCAAGATGGATGGATGTTATCCTTGAAGTGACTGGCTTGACTTTGAAGGGGCTTGGGGTGGCCACGGCTGTCAGGGAGCTCTGGCATGGGCTGGTCCATGAGGTCACAAACTGAATGAATAAACAATAACATGTGGGTTTTGGACAGAAACATCCTCCAGAATATTTATTCCTACTTCATCCTAAAAATATTCAGGTTTTAATCACTTGCAGCAGTAACTGAAAGCATCATCAAAAATACATATTGAAAATCAACTGGGTTTAGAAGCCTAAACATGTTGTTTACTCTTTTTTCTGAACTGTTGCATGTTTTCTTCTATCAGCATAGACATCTCAGGAAAGAAAATAGACTACATGCTTCCCCTTGGCATTTCAAATGCTTTCCACTTCCTCCATTTTCTGTTTGAACTATCATGCCAGGGAAAGATCGCAGTTTTTGTTTGACAAAAATCTGTGGAAGTCTCTTTGCCTCATATGGTTGTATGGTTGCCACTGTTGGCAGCTGACAATGTTAATTGAGCACACTGCTAGCCAAGGGTTTAGGACTATGGCTGGTATTTTATCAATGGCAGTTCCTGATTGTTAAGAAATATCCATTGGAAGTTCAAAGAAGGTAACCGTCATCAGTGGAAAGGCAAAAAACAGCAAAAATAATCCCCCAAAGGTTTGGACTTCTGAAAGACAGCCTTCTGAGACTTCCTATCCAGAGTTAGCTGGGGAGGGCTTTGTGCTACACAAGCTGTTCTCTAGAGATCTACTGCCGGCTGAAAGTGTGTTTACTTGCTTCCAATATGCTCCGTTTGTGTATTTGTAAATAAAAATAAATACTAAAAGGACACCATATGTCTCTAGTGCTGTCAAGCAAAGGGTACTAATCCCTGTAGTTCATCTCCCAGAATTTTTCACTCTTTGGAAGTGGGAGCACATAACAGTATGATTTCACTAGGGATATATGAGATGCAAATGTGTCTCCCATACTGCAATAACTTTATTTGATGAGCATCAAAAGAAGAGTTATCTTGATCTTGAATGTGCATTACATTCATAAAAGAGATTAAGAAATTAACATTAATTTCTTTTATGAACTATATATAAATACCGTCTTCTAGACTGCATCCTGCAAGCATAGAAATATTTCTTTTCATATCCCAAAAAGTACTTTTAAATTACATTTTCTTTATATACACAGGGACTATTTCCCCTGGTTCACCTTGTTCTTTACACCTCAAGAAAATGAACATTTTTCAATTCATAGAAAAGAACATTACAATATCTATATGTACAGTGCTCTATGTCTGTTTCAAAGCTTCGGGGGCTTTGAATCATGCTCAAAAGTAATAAATTTTCATTAATAAATTCTAGTGCAGATACTGCCTCAACAATGTACGGCAGGAGTTTGCAGGATTACAGTGGGTACGCAGTATGCTGATATGTGCTGCTCAACTGCAATGGGAATGGCTCAACAAACCAAATGCCTTCCGTCTATGATTTATCATCCCCATTGTTTATCACAGTTCCTTCTCTAGCGGCAGCCAGATTTCTCACTGGAGCGGAGTACATGGAGCATACAACTCTTCTGTTACGTCAGTTCCAGTGGCTGCCAGTTTGCCACTAAGCACAATTCAAGGTGCTGGTTTTAGCCTATAAAGCCCTAAACGGTTCTTGGCCAGCTTACCTGTCCGAATGTATCTCCCTCTATGAGCTAGCTATAAGGTTAAGATTGTCGGGGGAGGCCCTGCCATTGTTCCCACCTCCTTCACAGGTGCGGTTGGTGAGGACGGGAGAAGGGCCTTCTCAGTGGTGGGCCCTCAGTTATGGAACTCCCTCCTTAATGAAATCAGATCAGCCCCCTCCTTCCTGACCTTCAAGATGTGGATGTGGGATCAAGCGTTTGGTCATTAACCCAATAGAGAATATAGAATAGTGCAATGACAATTTGGAATGGCTATGGATTATCATTTTGGATAACATGATTTTAATAAGTGTTTTAAGGTTTGATATGTTTTTAACAACAGTGTTAATGTATATGCTTATTTTATAATGTATGTATGTCTACATGGCATCGAATCGTTGCCAATATATACAAGTCACCTTGAGTCTCCTATGGGGTTGAGAAAGGCAGAGTATAAAAACGGTAAATAAATAAATAAATATCGCTCCAAATAAAACAGAGAAAACAATTCCCATCTCATCCTCAGACTACGGAAAAGGCCAGAGGAACAGCCTCTGGCCTTGTTCAGAATAAACAAGCAAAATTCTGAAGGTCATTTGGCCACTCCCAATTAAAACAGAAATCACATATATCACTGTTTACTGGTCCCCAGCATTATAGGGCCTTTCTGTTTTCCTGGCTTATTATGTTGTGCAAAGTGGGCCAAAGGTGTAGTGAAATACCTTTCACAATCAGTTCTGCATAATTTGAAACTCCGACTCCTCCTTCTGTGCGAATCATACAGCGATAATTGCCAGCATCCCGCTTGGTAGCATTCACCACACTGAAGGAAGCTACAAATCGCCGATCATTAAAAATTTTCATGTCCTTCAGAGGTGCATCTCGTACAAGCAGACCCTGATGAAAAACAAATGAAGAACTCAGTTTTAATTTTTTTAAAGAAAATACAACTGAAAAGATGCTGCGTTTGTCAAACACTTTACAATAGGATTTAAATTAAATCTGACATCTAAATTAGCACATATAATACTTATTTTCAGTTTGGATGAAACAATTAATTAACACACATCTAAAATATCCAGCACCTCTTTTAAGTCACTGCAGATCTTGTATTAAACAAAGAAATGATGGAAGTATGCTTTTATAATTTGTTCTTGCACTACAGAACAAATTAGCTTTATTAAAACAAAGAATCTGAACAGTTCTAAAACCTACGCCACCACTTCCTTTTGACTTGGAAAACTGTTTTGTCCCAGCTTTTATCTTTGCATAAAAATGTTTGTAGATCTCTTGTCTCAGAAAATGAAAAATGTGGCAATTACCAGACTGGCTTTGAAGAGAACAGATTAATATGTACGATTATCTACAGGTATTATAAAAAAAGAAAAGGAAGGGAGAGCACCTATACAAGGATGTCTGGGAGAAGTGCCCTCTTGCATGTACACAGAAGTGATTTATTAGGCCCAAAGCATTGCAAGAAAGGTCTTCCTAAGAGGCAGTGTGCTTTTGGTCCAAGTGATAAATCTGTGAACATCTGAGATATCCTCCATTTTATAGTCATATATGTGTATATAGGATTTTCTTTCTCAAGAGTGGCTTCTCATGCAATAGGAAATGGCAATTAAAACAATAAACCATAAAAAAACCACAAAAGAAGTGTTTGGTAGAGAAATAAAACACATCACTGCACATTTAAATTCTTGGCGAAATCAATGGATTTTCACTTTGCCTCAGAAGCAAACCAAAGACAGAAAAAGCTACATCTCAGAAGGATGAGTCTTGCACAGATGGTGTGCCACAACAGAAAAGGCCCTTATTTCTAAAAGTGAACGGAGCCTGGGATGTTCATCTTGATACATCCATATTGGAGAAACGGTCCTCTCAGTAGCCTAGTCTCATGCCACTAAGGACGTCATCAATTAAACCAGCATTGTATATTCAGCTCAAAATTGAGCAGGAAGCCTTTTAAACACATCAATGCCCACAAGATGTATTTCATACATCAGGCAGCAATTAGTAATTGTTCTGTTATATTTTGCACCAGCTGTCATTTCTGAACAATTCTTCAGACTTAGTCTCTCATGCACTGCATAAATCTAGAAAAGATGTATTACAGATGGTATCTACTATCCTTTCTTCATGTCGTCAGTGTTTTGCTAGCGGCATGCAAAACAGTAAAGAGTACGTCTACACTGTAGAATTAATGTAGTTTGACACCACTTTGCCAGGTCTCAAAGCTGTGGAAACATAGAAGTTGAAGTTTTAAAAGTTCTTGAGCTTTCTCTGTCAAGAGTGCTGGTGCCTCATCAAACTACAAATCATACATAGTATTGTGCCATGGTAAAGTATAAAACTGCATTGATTCTATAGAGTTACTGTACCTGAGACATTCTCTATACAGTATATCTACATTTTTTAAAAGTAACTAATAATATTTACAGTCCTCACCTTCACAAAACATAGTTGCTATACAACTGCATTTTAAGAGTAATTACTTACATTCTCAAATATAGCTAGAATAGTTGCTTCAAGTTACTTTTTAAAAACTAAGTGCTAGAATCTAATGATCTGATACACTGATCCCCTGTTAGGATATCAGCCAGCAAGACAATGCCTTAAATCAGGAAATAGCTTCCTAAGATCTGCAGAGAAACTCGCAAGAACACCTCAGCAAGCAAGAGTCCAAAAGTGGCAGGCTGAAACCCGGAACCTCAATCAGTGGCTGAAGCCGGATGAGAAACTCTCTCCTGGGCACACAGAACACTAGGTGACTTGGAGGGTGCTGAACAGACTGCGCTCTGGCACCATGAGATGCTGAGCCAATCTTAAGAAATGGGGCTACATGACATGCAAGTGCGGAGAAAAGCAAACCACGACCACTTACTACAATGCAGTCTGAGCCCTATCACATGCACAATGGAGGACCTTCTCACAGTGACACCAGAGACGCTCGAAGTTGCTATTTTCTGGTCAAAGGAAATTTAGTATAATGCCAAGTTTTAACTTTGTTTGTGTTTCCTTATACATTATAACTGTATTCTCAATTTGCTTCTGACACAATAAATAAATACATTCAGAAAGACATACTTCTGCTTTCCTTGTTTTTGCCTTTAGTATTAATTTTCACATAGCACAAAAGTTAAGATTTAAGTGTACATTTGGGCATATCTTAATTTCTCTAGGTTATCACAATTGTCATATGCTTTGACTATTTTCTCCTGGTCTTTAAACACAAATTAAGTTTCAATGAAATCTAACCAGGCTGACTTTATGAAGTGGAAAGAGTAAACCTTGCCCTTTGTACCAGAAAACAAAACATAGAACCTATTAAGGAAATGCTGAACTCAGTCCGTTAATGATGGTATTCAGACATCAACATGTTGAAAGTAAACTTAACATGCTATTCATAGCTTTTGGAAAGCTCCAAATAATGTCAACATTAAACTGACTCTTGTACATAATTCATGAGGGAAAAGCCAAGGTTGTAGGGAGCATTATGCCAAAGTAATCCCATATTAAGCAGTAAATAACAAAAAAAAATGTATTTAATAAGTACAGTATTAATGAAAACCTTCAACTTTTACCGGTGCTTTTATTGCATAGCCTATTTATAACACTGTTGAAGTTAACAGCCATGGAATGGAGGGCACTGGGCTTTGTCCCTTGCTGTCAATAAATCTCAAGGGCACAGGGTAAAACTGGGTCTCACCTAACCTGGACAGAGTTGGACAGAAGAGATGGTGGTCAATTCCATCTTATTGGCTGGTTAACCCTGATTATTTTACACAAGGATTGATTTGTAAATGGCATACATCTCTAACATACACCCTTCTTTGCGTCACTAACAGAAATAATGCACCCAGAAAGATGTTTTCAGTTGAGTTTCTTCAGCTGACTATAATTAATGGTCTGCATCTGCCAGAAGATGTTCCGGTGTTTCTATTTTATTGACCACTCTAGTAAAATACATACTCTTAAATTACCAAATGCATCCTTTTGGGATCCAAGACACTTCTCTTACTTGAATATGATTTTAAAATCATTATTTGTTTTCATTTATAGCCCACCTTTCTCTCCATGGGGACTCAAGACAGCTAACAACCATCCACCCTTTACTCTCAGCTCAAGAATGGAAAATCGAATGTTAGTGGAGAGCCAGAGAAATTTAAAGCAAACCTTTAAAAAGGGGGGCGTAAACACCAAAAAATGGGAAGCCCTGGCACTTGAGAGTTCTTACTGGAGGTCAGCTGTTACCAACAGCACTGTGGATTTTAAGGAGGCATGAATAGAGGACGAAAGGGAGAAATGTGCCAAGACAAAGGTGCACCAAGCAAACACTTGTCCTCACTGCAAAAAACCATGCAGATCCAGAAAAGACCTCTACAGCCACTTATAGACCTACCACTAAGATTCTACCCCTGGAAGACCATCATACTCGGCTACGACTGTTGGGTCAATGCTCCAACCCAAACATATTTGGATTTTTTAAAAAAGATCTAGATAGAAATTTACCTGAAATCTCTTCAAGCCACTGGAAAGACAAACTAAAATGTGAGATTTACTCCATCCATAAAACCTATAACTGCCCCCTTCCAGAAAAAAAGGATTTAAAATGGTAGGAAAACAAACCCACAAGTGAGTAGAAGTTTGTTTTATGTTTCTTTTAATATTGGTGTAGATGGTGAAGGGTTTATCGTTCCCAAGCTTCCTAACAGTAGTGGGATTCCAAATCTTGTTCAGAATGTTCAAAGTATCAACTATTAAATCTTCCAAGCACACCCTTTTTACAGAACTATGTTTGCTTTTTTTAAAAAAAAAAAAAAGGGTGGGGGGAGACATGACTGTCTAATGGTGAGCTCAATACAAGCTGGGCCAGGCTGAAGATATTACTGCCTTGTCATTCAAGGCATTATTTGCACGCTTCAGATACCCCCTCCCCCAATATATATATACATACATACATACTGGGAGAGGAGATAAATCTGAACTGCTCTGCAAGAATAAGAAAAAGTTAGATCAGTCAAATGAATCTTTCAAGAAATGATAAACATTAGGACTGTGCAAATCTTCATTTCTAACTCAGTCAAATCTAATTCATTAGATTCGTACATAAGAAACAATATTTAGGAATGTGAGGGGCAGCCACACAAAAGAATTAAGATTCAAAACAGTGACCTAAAACTTTTGGATGAGTTAAGTAAGTCTTATAAATGGCTCCAGGTCTCCAATGCGGGCACCACTTCTCCCTAAGAGGGCTGGGTTTGGTTTCCCCCAAAGGGTCCTGAGGAGGATGGTGAGGCCAGAGTGGAAGAAGGCGCCCTGCTCTTTTCCCAAAGAGGACAGTGGAGGGGGGGATGACTGGATGGATGATCGGGCAAGGAAGAAGCCCCTCCAGCACATGGTTGGCCCAGAGAGAGAGGCAGCAACCACATTCACATTGAGGCTTTAATGCAAGAAGTGAGCAGAATTCTGGGAAATGAAGTTTGAATTTTCTGACACTGATGACATGGAGGCAATGAAGCACCTGAGTTTTATGAGGAACTTCTCCAACTTGGAAGGGGAAAACCCAAGCGCTTTAATGCAAGAAGTGATCAGAATTCTGGGAAATGTAGTTTAGGTGGGGCCTTTTGAATTCTCTGCCATAAAGGTTCTCACCTTCCCAAACTTCATTTCCCATAATTCTGCTTACCACCTTGAGCCACCTCCTCTTCCTCCATCCTGAAAGTTTTGGTGGGGTAAAACCTGTGTTCATTTATTTTTCATTGATCACACAGGCCTAATAAACATAATAAAAGTGCTTTATCTTCCTTTCCATTGTATGTATGTGTATAGATACATATACATATATACATACACACACACACACATATATCTCAAGAAGAGTACTACTTCTAGCT